TGAGTTAACTCAGAATATTAGAATATTTATTTTTAATAAATATTAATAAAAATTTAATATTTCAATTAACACAGAGTAATACTGTAAATATAGTGCTTTAGGATTGTGCAAGATTTTTATAGGATAAAGGTCCTATTATGTACAGTAAAGATATAACAGATGAACCCGAACTCTTGGGCATTGTTTAGAAGTTAGATATTCAGCCATAGACCAAAGACCAGAAGCAAAGAAAAACAAGTTTTAGGTAACTAGTTTTCACTGTGAACTAAACATTCTAGAAATCTGATGTGTCTGTGTGAGTTTGTGTACTGTGTGTAAGAATATATGCATTTCTTTTGTAGCCACGTCATGAATATTTTAATGTCCCTGTGTACTAAATGACTACTCATCAAGTATGCAGACTTTCACAGAGGAAATAGAGAGCTGATATACTTATGAAAGAAAATATCCTCAGCTTGGTGACTGATTACCTTGTATGAAAATAATAGAACATTTCAGAACTAGTACCTTTACGATTGTATTTTTTCTTGTTCCCATTTTCAGCTTTTCTGTTTTATTGTCATTTGATACATGACCTTGATATAGCTTATTCTTGTTCACACTGATTTAATTTCTTTACACAGTATGGCCTATGAATGTTTTAAATGACATTTCATCTTAAACACATACATATTGTCATTAATGAGCCATCTGTAATTCATCTTATAAAAAGAAAACCTGGCAATCATTAAAATATTTACCAAAGACAATGGAGCTGAAGTGCTAGGCTGAAACAAGCAGTGCCATAATATGTAGTGTGGTTTGGTTTACCAATGTTGAAAGAAAAGTGAGACTATATTTAGAGTAATAATCTTACAGTCTGTATGAGCTAATATGCTCTAATGTGTCACATAAAAGTGTATATGGAAATAATACAGGAAAATAAAACAATTCTGTACCATTTTAAAATATTTAAGGTTAAGACATTGTATTGTATTTGAGAAATTTTGTAGTACCACATTTAAGTTACATTTGTGCCATATAAAACAATCTCTTTAAGAACAGAAAGCTGTGTCAGAAAAGTCTCTCTTGTTATATTTATTGCTTAATAGTAGCCATTTAAAAGCATTAATACTGAGTTTATTATAGTTCAAAATTTCTAATATTCAGTTTCAATACCTAAGTACTTATATTTTACTAGTATGGCTTTCTAATATATTCAGTCTTCATTTAAGTATTTAATGCTTTGTTAACTATGCTTCCTGTTTCTGAATATTAAAACCTTTGCTATTGATCACTATTGTATTTACTTTTAGCAAAACAGACAGCATATTATAAAAAGAAAAGTATCAAATAATTCATTGCTTATCTGTAGAGAGAAGTTTGAAGTCTGAGTCAAATATGGCATCAGTAAACAACTTAAGATGATCAAACTGGTTTACCCCTGAAAGAAAACCAATGAAAGTGTATTTTGACCAAACTTAGTATTAGGCAAGCATATTTATTTATTTTCATTCTTACTATTCTTGCTGTAATGCACTCCATTTGAAGCACCTGGAGGGGCTATCAAATGAGAAATTTAGCATTACATTTTGAAGCACTCGGAAACATTGGTCTTTCATTTCCATTTTTTCCTTCCATTCCTCCCCTTGCCCCATGATATGTTATTACTCATTTGGTTTTAATGGTCCATAAATTTGCATTGTCTCATGCCTGTTTGCTTTGGATGCTGTGTGCTGAGCTGTAACAAAATGTTGCTTATTTTTGTTATATGTATAGACCTGCTTGCTTTAAGTAGTAGATTCTGAAATAGCTTTCCTTGCATGTCTAAAATAAAAGTATTGCATGTACTTTGTCTCATGTGAATGACTTTTTTCTTCTCCGTCCCTTTTGATAAAATGATGTATTTTATATTTTTGTTTTTCCAGGTAATTTTTTTTAAATTGGCAAAAAACATATAACCTAGAATTCACCATTTTAACCATTTCTGATTATAGAGTTTAGTAGTGTGAAGTATATTCACATTGTCAGGCAACAGGTCTCCAGAACTTGTTTTCATTTTGTAAAACTGAAAGACTGTATAACCCATTAATCAACAACTTCCCAGCCACCCCCCATGCTATTCTACTTCATTTCTATGAATTTGAGTACTTTACATAATAAGGGACACCCCAGATAATTTTGAGCTACAATTTCAGTGTAATTTGTGAAGATTACATTTTACATTATAAACAGAATTTGTAAAAAAAAAAAAAAAAAAGACTTGTAGAATGTAAAAGGAATAAAATGTCTATGATTCTTTGAAGCTATAGGACTTTTAGAAAGAACGAATGTTTTAAATAATGCATATTTGATAAGCAACATGAGTCTATAGGAAATACTATATAAGATTTCAAGAGAGCTTCTATTACTCTTGGGAGTGTTGGATCATTTCTATTACTTTCTTTTAAAAATTTTATGAAAACTTCAAGAAAGGCAGAGAATAGTATAAAAAACCCTCGGGTACTCATCACTCAGCTTCAGCAACCATCAGCTTAATACTCTGCTTGTTTCCCCATCCCTTCTTACTCACATTTTTGCCTCAGTATTTTAGAGCAAGCTCTAGACATCTTTCATTTCATTGTTAATAACTTCAGTATGTGTCCCTAACACGTAAGTAGCATGCCCAACTAAATTAACTGTAACTCCTAATACCTTGTACCTACCTTAGTTTTTCCTAATTGTCTGAGAAGTGCCCTTTTTTTTATCATTGATATAACCAGAGTCCAAACAAAACACACCACATTGTTTCTGGTTAACAATTCTTTTCATCTTTAACAAGTCTACTTTTTTTCTTCTCACCATTTTTTTTTTAACCATGTCATTCATGCTGTAGAATTTCTGATATCCTATATTTGGCTAATTGTATTCTTTTATTTATTAAGAGCAAGAGAGACAGAGAGAGAAGGATAAGCACTGTCAACAAGGTCTCATGCTGCAATCCTCTCCACCCCAGCCTCTCCTAGCCAGCCAGAATCATAAGGCCACATAGTGCACCCAGCATGTACAGGTCAACCTGGAACCAAACTCGATCTTTCATGCCCTAGCACCACAAGAGTGCTGTGCTACTGCTGCACCACCACAGCTGGACAGGCTGATTTTATTTTTATGGTGACGTTTAACGTGTACTGTCCCCCCCCACTCCCTGGCCATCTATAATTAGATCTTTAAACTGATTAGATTGAGGTTCAGTGGGGGGTAAGAGTACTTCATAGATTATGCTGCCTCTAAAAAAATACTTTTGTTCAGCAAAGCTGGGTTTTACCCGTTTTTCATTACTATACATACATACTAAAGAGGTCATTTTATGTACTTATATAGAGCTGATTTCTAGTTCTTCAGTTTAGTACTGAAATGTTTAGATTTCAGTTATGTAAACATTATCACACTAACATTTTTTGAACACTTTCTGTAAATCTGGCACTGAGAATTAACTCACTCAATTCCAGCATATGAAGGTAAGTACTACTATTCTTGTTTTCCTAATGAGAAACAGACCATAGAGTTTAATTAAGATCACACCATGAAGCGCTTTACATATGGTTAGATCCAATGTTGTAAGGATTTATGGTTTAATATAATTTTTTTCTCCTTGTTTTATGCTGTACCATGATTAGGATGCAAAAGTAAGTTTATTTATTACTAGATACTAGAAGTTTACTCTGTTTCCCTTTAAAAGATTAAAATATAGTGTTGCCTTTTAATTATAAATGGTTGCTAGTTAACACGTGAAAGTTGACCTACCGAGGCTGGGAAGTGGCATGGTGGTTAAAGGTGCTGGACTCCCACATGGCCGACCACAGTTCAAGTCTCGGACCTGGTGGCTTGCTTTCTCACTTCCTCTCTCTCTCTCTCTCTCTCTCTCTCTCTCTCTATCTCTCTCTGATCAAAACTCAATAATAATAATAAATAAAGTTAAATCAAATGTTTTTTTTCTTTTTTTGAGAGAGAGATTTTTTTTGCTCTAAGGGCACGTGCGCTTGCCAGGCAGAGAGAGACAGAGAGACAGAAAGTGAGAAATCCCCCCCCCAGGGGGAATGGCCACACCGCAATCCCTTCTCCATTCTCCTCTCAGGATCTTGGGCATACACGCACACGCGCCTGGCGTGTGTTTAAGCCACCGGGTCCAGGACTCGAACCACAGTCGACTACGTGGGAGTCCAGCGACATAGCCATTACGCTAACTGCTGGTCCCTAAAATAATTCTTAGGTTAAAAAAAAAAGGGAAAGTTGACCTACTTAGTCTTTTTCTATTTTCTAAGGAAGATCAGCCACTTTGGAAAAATTTTTAAATAGTTCTTTTCTAGATACGTCTTTTTTCTTCCTTTGACAATTAAAGGTGAATAACAGTTGTTACATAGGACCAAAAAGAATATAATGCATTCTGTCCCAGAGCATTCTTTATTCTTTCTGTACGTGCCCCCCACCTGTGCCTCTGATTGCCCTTGGGAGGTCTCAGAAGGTGACCCTTTCTGAAGCCTTTCTGCTGTGGACAGTTAAGTAAAAAATTCAATAGGAAGATATTTCCATAAATATATGTAACAGAAGAGCATGGGAAACAACACTGGGTAAAGAATTGTGAGAAGGGCAGGAGGCAATAATGGTGGGAGAAGTTCCCTGTCTGCTTTTTGCAGGTTTTGAATTTGTTTTGGAACTTTAACAGTGAGATAACTTATCTTTCCTATGTATAATTGAGTAGCAGTGATTTAATAAATGGCCAGTGGGTTTGTACTGGACTTGACTTTTTGTGTTAACAGCAACAGTGCTCAGCATGATAGTAGGTCATCAGGTATGTAATGATTGCCAAAAACATCCATCTGTGGTTTGTTCTGGGCACAAACCCCTAAATAACCACTGTCTGTCGCTAGTATAATAGAATGCTATGACACTGAATTGCTTTCTTTATTTAAAGTGAGCATGTCTTTCTTTGTCAATTTTTCATTCTGAAGACCCACTGGATATGCTTACCAGAGTCTCACATTTTCCCTCCACAGGAAGCTGAAACCCCACGTAGTGTTCTTGAAGAAATTGGACTGACATAACTCTCCTCTCTTGTTGGTGACTTCTTGTGGCATTTCACACACCGTAGATGGTCACTGCCTTCATGTCCATGTTAGCTAATGGTGTAAGATGATGTCTTGTCAGTATTACTGTTTTGCTAAACCGCTTGTTTTAGGCCTACACAATTTTTTTTTAAAGGGAACTTTGGTTAATTACATGATAAATTAAGGGATTTAAATATGAATTAGAATGATGAGAAAAAGATACCTTTTACAGGTATTTTTCAATTTATAAGTGAGTTTCTCTTAATCTGATTATGTGCATATTTGAAAATTATCCATCTATATACATATGAAATCAATCAGGCAGTATGCATTTATTAATTACTGTATTTGAATTATAAAGTGAAACCTGGTTTTATGAAACCAAAGACTAATACAACATTTCAGTATACATAAGAATAAAGGGAATTGACACTTATCAAATGAAGGAAAATTAATCTGTGTTGAAACTTAAAAAGAAAAAAAATATACCAAAGACCCCTATTGGAAACTACATATCTTAAAACAAAGGGAATATAGCTTATTTTAAATCACTAAATTTGAATGCTGCTGTCTTACACTAAAAAGTATTCCTTAAGCGTTTTGAACCTGGGGTGAACACATTGTTCATGTGAGTGAGCACATCAATTTTCAAGGCCAAGGCACATTTGACTCCTGAGATGAATTTTTTGTGGACATAATCATTTACCTAAGTTGGATTGTTTTTGATGCCCCAAAATAAAGTGGGAATGTTAATTTACCAGGAATTCATCATAACAGTATCTTATAGAAAACCTGTTACTCGTCACACAGTGTTGCATAAAGTCATTGTTTAAAGCACGACTGTTCCCTCTGGGGTGCTTATTAAAGCCAAATTTATTTTTGCTTCCCTCCACTTAGAAGTGCTGCAGACTTTATAGCAGCTTCCTTTCCTTCCATGGCACTGCCTAGTTATCAGAAGTCTTATAAAAGTTTTAAGAAAGAACACCTTTCATATAAACAAGGGAGACTTGAATGAGGTAAAATG